CCCAAGTAAGAGCAGGCGACCTCGCTGGTCTGGTCAATACAAAATCCTTCCACCATCTCTTGGCGGAACCTGTCATCTGAAACATAGCAAAATCGACCCTATTGGTCTCAACTATCCCCATGATCCGCAGAACCTCATGGCAATGGTCAAGATAATCCTGTGGGTCCTCAGAAGGTGCACCAATGAAGTGAATTAGGAAGAGCTTGGTGAGCTTGTCCAATCTCAATAAGCCCTCAGAAGACATAGTTGGTCCATCACCGGCCTGTGCTGCAATAACCCGCTGAACTACTCCGGCTGGCTGAGCTGCTGGAGTCTGATATTGGGGAGCCATCGGCTGCGGAGTATGAGTAGCAGGAGTCTGTGCTCCTCCTCCAGCCTAAGAGACGGCTGGTGCCATGGGAAATGTACCAGTCTAGGCCACACTCTCTATAAGGCCCACTAAACGGACCAAAGCGTCCTGAAGCACAGGGGTGGCGATGAATCCCTCAGGGACCTGAGCTGGTCCGACGGGCACGGCCTGGGCTGGAACCCCCTCATCAAACTCTACCTGAGGCTCCACCACTGGTGCTGCTACTCGAGCTTTAGGTTGAGCTCTGCCCCTGCCTCGGCCTCTAGCACGACCTCGGCCTCGACCTCTGCCCCTCGTAGGAGCTGCCACTGGAGGCTCTAGCTGCTGTTCAGCTGAAGATGCGGTACGTGTTCTCGCCATCTGTGAGAGAATAAGAGCAGAAGAGTTCAATTAGCATTGCGAGAACAAAATCGCACGATAGAGAAGAATAGAAGTGAAATTTGTTCCTAAACTTCATACTCTCTGGAAGATAAGTACAGGCGTCTCCGTACCGATCCTCCATACTCTACTAAGCCTGCTCGTGCATTGTGAGACCTAGGCAACCTAGTGCTCTAATACCAACTTGTCACGACCCAGAATTTCCACCGTCGGGATCGTTATGGTGCCTAACATTCCACTTGCCAGGCAAGCCGACATTAGAGAATTATTAAACCAATCCTTATTCAATTTCATAAATAACAGGAAATAAACTAAAATGAAATACAGCGAGTGCAGAATAATATAAAAACTTTATTAATTACTACCACCCGGATCTAGAGTCATAACTCACGAGCTACTATGATTTACTACAAACAGAGTCTGAAAAGGAAAATACAATGTTTTGAAGTAAGGAAACAGTAAATGATAACACTAGGAAGAGACTCCAGGGTCTGCGGATGCCAACAAATCTACCTTGGGTCTCCTGACAACAAATCCAAGCTGCTAAGCCTCACGATCAGCTAGGGCCGGTACCAAAATCTGTACAAAAAATGCAGAGTGTAGTATTAGTATAACCTACCCCATGTACTGGTAAGTGTCAAGCCTAACCTCGACGAAGTAGTGAAGAGGCTATGACAAGACACCNACTCACAATATGGCACGGCATCACCCTTCATGCATTAACACTCACAATATGGTATGGAATCATCCTTCGTACATTAACACTCTTCCTTACCATAATGCAATGAACAAATAACAACATGGAGATAAAATAAGAAGTACAAGCCTTACTTCAATATTTAGTTCTATAATAACAACCTCAACTTCGGAATCAATACTCAATTATCACCAGAAGATTCGTAAATATGATAAGAACGATCAATTTAGCAATACTAGTCTAAACACGGATAATAGGAATAAAGGAAGCTATAATTGCAAGAAACCAAGCCCCGCCCACATGCGTTAACCCGACTACAATGCATAAGTACTCGTCACCTCACACATACGTTGTTCCCCAACATTTAAATATATAGTAAATAGACAAACAAATCCTATTCCCTCAAGTCAAGGTTAACCACGATACTTACCTCGCTCCGAAGACCAAACTCAAAGCTTAACCACGACTTTTTCTCTCAAACAAGTCTCCAAACCAATAGAATCTAGCAATTTACCAACCAAACGATTCAAATTAAGCCTTAGGAATTACCCACGATTGTAAAGAATTTAATTTAGGCCATTATTGAAAAAGTCAACAAAAGTCAACACCTGGGTCCGCTTGGTCCAAACCTGAAATTCAGATCAAAACCCGATTACCCATTCACCCGAGCCCGATTATGTATTTTTTTTTGGGAATCCGACCTCAATTTGAGGTCTAAATTCCAAATTTACCAAATCCATACCCAAAAACTCCCAATTTTCACCTTGAAAACTTTAGATTTTAGGTTGAAAACTTGTGAAAGATTTAAAGAAAATAGGTTAGAATCACTTACCAACGATTTAGGCAAGAAGAAGTCTTGGAAAAATCGCCTCTAATATTTCAGGTTTTGAAAATTTGGGAAATGAAACAAAAATCCCGTCTAAGTCATAGTTGCTCAGCTGCAGATGTCGCATTTGTTACCTGGGCTTCGAAATTGCAAAACCGCAAATGCGAAGATTTCATTGCAAATGCGAGAAACATCACACCTCTTCATTCTTCGCAAATGCGAATAATGGCTATGTCTGCTGCCTTCGCAAATGCGGACTTCCAGTATCACAAATGTGATCAAAACTTTGCAATTGCGAAGGTCTTCCCCCCAACCCACTGCTCGCAAATGCGATGATCTCTTCGCAATTGTGAGGCCCGCATTTGCGAGCCAGACCTCGCAAATGTGAAGTCTGCAGATCAGTTGCAGCAGCTATTATGTTTTCTAAGTTCAAAACACTCTGTAGCCTATCCGAAACTCACCCGAGCCCTCGGGGATCCAAACCAAACATGCACACAAGTCCTAAAATATCATACGAACTTGCTCGTGCAATCAAATCACCAAAATAATACCTAGAACTTCGAATTGAATATCAAATCAAATGAAATTTTTAAGAAAACTTTAAAACTTCTATTTTAACAACCGAGCGTCCGAATCACGTCAAACTAATTCCGTTTCTCACTAAATTTTACAGGCAAGTCATAAATATAATAATGGACCTGTACTGGGCTCCAGAACCAAAATACATACCTGGTATCAACAAGACCAAACATCAGTCAATTCTTAAAATTATTAAACTTTCAAACTTTTAATTTTTCATCAAAATTTCATAACTCAAGCTAGGGACCTCCGAATTCGATTATGGGCATACGCCCAGGTCCCATATTTCGATACAGACCCACCGGGACCATCAAAATATGGATCCGGGTCTGTTTACTCAAAACATTGATTGAAGTTAACTCAAATTAATTTTTAAGGTAAAATATCTTATTTTTATCCGTTTTTTTAATATATAAGCCTTCCGGAAGAATACCCGGATTGCGCACATAAATCGACAAAGGCTAAAATAAGGTTTTTGAGACCTCAAAATACAGAATTAGGTTCTAAAATATAAGATGACCAATCGAGTCATCACATCGACTCTCTCGACTCTCTCGGCTATGAAGAAGAAGATCGCAAAGTTGTCATCATAACTTGAAGAGGCAAAGGCTAGAGAAGAGGGATGAACAATTTAATGTCCTTCAAAGGTCAGTTGGCCAATCTTCTTGCAATGTAATGCTGCCATTATAGGTTATTGATTGTTGGCAGTTGGTGCAGTTGTATTCTGCCAAATATTTACCTAGAAAATTGACCGCATAGCGACCGAAGTCGGTCGGAAATGTTAAAATAAAATTCCTAAAAATTTAAAATTACCGACCGACTTCGGTCTGTATCAGCAATAAATGTTTTTCAGGTTTTGAAATTACCGACCGAAATCGATCGGAATTTTTGATTTTAAATTTTTAAAATTTCTAGAAATTTTATTTTAACATAATTAGAAATTATTTTTAAGAATGTCGACCGAATTCAGTCGGTAAATTTAGTTTGTGTCAGATTATTTGGTCAAAATCCGTTGAAAATTACTGATCGATTTCGGTCGGATATGTTGACCGTTTGCGGTTGCCTCGCATTAGCGACCATTATTTTTTCGACGAATTAAAGTCAGTCGGAAATCGGTCGATTTTTATTCGATTCTAACTGATTTCGGTCGGTGTTTCTAGACGCTTTTTGATAGTTTTTTAGTACTGGTAGGGTCTGCGTACACACTACCCTACTCAGACCCCATATTGTAGGAATAAACTGGTATATTATTGTTTTGTTTATTGTTGACACATTTTCAAGATATGCATTTGTACCTTCATCCTATTTTTGTAACGACAATTGATCGCCTATAGAGTTTAAAAGATAAAAAGAAATTTTCGACGTAGTATAGTACTATTCTTCAATTCGTTAGTATCTAATTAATGTTTTTTTAGATAATACGTAAAAAAAAATTTGTAGTTATATCAAATTTTCAGTTGAACACCTAAAGTTTGTAGTATCTATAAATACTACCTTTTGAACCCACGAAAAAATAATTCTCAGACACTTCCTTTACATTACCAAGCTTTTACTTTGCCGCAAGAATTTCCTCAAATATTTTGTCTTCTCTTGGGTTTGATTCTTGTGGTGTGAAAATTTGTGGTTATCAAAAGGAAAGCCTAGATCTTGCTCGGTTTTATTATTTCTACTTCTTATATGCCGTATTAATGTCTCTATTATATTTTTTGATAATAATTTCATTACTTGAATAATTCATTTGGATGATTGCGATGCAAACGCGGAATTTTTCAGGCAATTTAACATAAGTATTCCATTTGGATATTTATTTTTGTAAAAAGAAAAAACATGTCAACCTATAAGCTCAAAACCGAAAATTCAAAATATTCAAACCGATTAATCCGAAACCGAACTTAAAAAATTCGATTCAATCCGAACTTATTTGAATTGGATTTGGATTGTCATTTCTTCAATCCGAAAATCGAAAATCCAAACTGAAATTTTCACATGCAATTCGAACTGCCCCAACGCCCACCCTAAGATACGTGGCAAAATGTGATTGGTCCTAAGATACACTAAGTGGCCGTACGACAGCCGCAAAATTTAGGTGTTCAGTCGGAAACTCGAGACAAGTCGAGGGATACTTTATGTATTATCCCATGTTCATTGAACACACAAGCAGGAAAACAGAAATGTTGTTCCTCTTCCTAATAGCTATACCTGCAGTCGTAATTTTCCTTTTAAAAAACTACAGAAAAATTGGAGTCAGGGTACATAATCATCCACCAGGTCCCCCTGGACTTCCACTTGTTGCAAACTTATATCAATTAAATAAAGAATCCCTTCATAAATACCTATGGCAACTTTCAAAGAAATATGGTCCCTTAATGTCCATGAAACTTGGTTTTTCCCAAGTAGTAGTAATTTCATCAGCAAAAATTGCTAAAGAAGCAATGAAAACTCATGACATTGCATTTTCTGGCAAACCATCATTTCCCAGCCAACAAAAGTTATCGTATAACGGTTTGGATATTAGCTTCTCATCTTACGGTGCTTATTGGAGGGAAATAAGAAATATTTGTGTCATACATCTCTTTAACACCAAAAAGGTGCAATCTTTTCGTCCAATTCGTGTAGATGAAGTGTCCAGGATGATCAATCATGTAACAGAACTTGCTTCGATGTCGAAATTGGTTAATCTTAGTGAGATTATATTGTCTTTATCAAGCAGCATAATATGTAGAGTTGGATTTGGCAAGAGATATGATGAGAAAGGTGATGAAAAGAGGAGATTTCACAAACTTCTACGTGAAGCAGAAGCTGTGCTTGGAGATTTTTTTGTCTCTCATTTTTTCCCAATTTTTGGGTGGGTTAATAAAGTCAATGGAAAGGTTGCTAGACTTGAAAAGATTTACAATGAGTTGGACTTATTCTATCAAGAACTCATTGAGGAGCACCTCAGCCCAACCAGGCCAAAATCAATGGATGGTGATATTCTTGATACGTCAATTGTCTTGCGAGATCAAACACTGTCATCATCTTTGACTCACACTTGGGATCATATCAAAGCAGTGCTAATGGTTGTTCACTTCTCTGTCTAGTTACTCCCTCTGTTTTAATTCACTTTCCGTTTTAATCTGTTCAAAAAAAATTTCGCATTTCTATATGTAGTAAGTTTTTACTTCCAAAGTTTTCACTTTATGCATAATGACACTCTCTTATAAAAGTTACATGGCATGTTTAAGTGTCACGACCCGAAATTGTAACGATCCGATCGATCGTTTTGAGCATTTACACTTCTCTTAGTTGTTTGAGGGCATGAGTAGCTCCGTATGATGTAATATGACTTATGTGAATCGTCGGTTTTGATTTTCAGGTTATTCAGAATTGATATGAAAGAATGGTTCTCAGCCAGAAGCTTTAAATTGGAAGAGTCGACCAAGTTTGACTTTTGGGGAATTTAAACCCGGAACTGAGTTTTGATGGTTCCGTTAGCTCCGTTGGGTAATTTTGGACTTAGGAGCGTGTCCGGATTGTGATTCGGAGGTCCGTAGTGGAAACGTTTTTGAAATGGCGAAAGTTGAAATTTTGAAAAGTTTGACCGGGAGTGGACTTTTTGATATCAGGGTCGGAATCCGCTTCTGAAAATTGGAATAGGTCCGTAATGTGAAATGTGACGTGTGTGCAAAATTTAAGGTCAATCGGACGTAATTCGATAGGTTTCGGCATCGATTGTGGAAGTTGAAGTTTCGAAATTCATAAATTTCGATTTGAGATGCGATTCATCGTTTCGATATGGTTACGCGTGATTTGAGGTCTCGAGTAGGTCCGTGTTATGTTATTGGACTTGTTAGTATATTCGGATAGGGTCCCGAGTGGCCCGAATGAGTTTTGGACGAGGTCCAGATCATTTTTCACTTCATGTGCAAAGCTGGAGGCTGCTGGTTTTGGTGGGATCGCACTTACGATTGGTTTGCGCAGGTGCGATGGCCGCAGAAGCGACAAAGGCGTCGCAGATGCGAGAATAGTGCTGGGTGAGGAAAACCGCAGAAGCGGAGATTTGGGCGCATATGCGATGCCGCAGGTGAGACAACTCGAGCGCTGGTGCGGATTTGGAGGGTGTCAGCAGAGGTCGCAAGTGCGAGGTGATTTATGCAAAAGTGGAAGTCGCAGGTGCGACGAATTTTTCGCAAATGCGGAAGTGCTGGGCAGAATGATACATACAAGGGTTCGCGATTTTGGCTTCATTTTAACATTTTCAAGCTCGGATTGAGGCCATTCTTGGAGCAATTTTCATCTTGTGGACTGAGGTAAGTGTTCTCTACTTATTTTTTATCTTGTATCACGAATCTACCTTCGTTTTTGGTAATTGGATTGTGAATTTTATAGAGGAAATTTGGGGTTTTGGCCTAAAGTTTCATAAAATGAATTTTCGTGTTTTGAACATCGAATTGGAGTCGAATTTTAGTAAAACTATTATGGTTGGACTCGTAATTGAATGGGTTGTTGGATTTTATAAATTTTGTCGGGTTCTCAGGTGCGGGCCCTGGTTGGGCTTTTGCCCATTTTGGACTTTTGATTTAAGATTTGTTCCTTTTCGATCGGGATTGGTTCCTTTAGCATTGTTTAATGTACTTGAGTTGTTTTGCTTAGTTTAGAGCCGTTCGGAGGATAGAACGCACGGGATGGCATCTTTGGAGCACCGCTTGGCTTGTTCGGCATTGGTATTGGCTTGTTCGAGGTAAGTAAGTCTTCTAATCTTAGTGCAGAGGGTATAAACCCCGTAATACGTGTTATGTGATTGGTATTGAGGTGACACACATGCTAGGTGACAGGCGTGTGGGCGTGCACCATATGAATTGGGACTCTGTTGTTTCTATGGCACTGTATAGTGGTCCTATTTTGTTGATATCCGTATTTTCACCGTGTTATAAAGTAATTGAGCTATCAATCATGCAAGATATCATGTTTAGTCATTAGGCCGATACTGTTTGGACCCATAATGGTCGTTTCTTACTGTCGTCTCACTGATTTCATTGATATTTTGTACACAGTCATATTTATGCATTCATATCATATCTCAGTCTCAGTTGTTATTTATTGATACATCATATCATTGTTATCGGGCTAGTTTCATGGCATTGTGAGCCCATGAGTGTGACTGGAGAGTGATGACTGAGTAAGGCCGAGGGCCTGAGTGAGATTGATATTTTGGGATCGGGTTGCACGCCGCAGCATATTATATTGCTATTTTGGGATCGGGCTGCACGCCGCAGCATGTTATATTGCTATTTTGGGATCGGGTTGCACGCCGCAGCACGTTATATTGATATTTTGGGATTGGGCTGCACGCCGCAGCGATACAGCACTTGGGCTAAAAGGAGCCCCTCCGGAGTCTATACACCCCCAGTGAGCGCAGTCGACTATAAAAAGGGATCGGGCTGTACGCCGCATCGGGTATTGTACAGCACTGAGTGATTGAGTGTGCTGAGCATAGTGAGAGAGAATATGAGACAGTGAGGTTAAGTACTCTGAGAGCGTGATTACATGAGCTCATCATTGAGATGCATTGCATTTGACATGCGTACTTGAGATACATGCATAGGGATGCATTTCCTTCTGCTACCCGGTGTTGGTGACATTTATGATTTTACTTGTATCTTGACATGTAGGCATAGAGACGTATTTTCCTCATGCTATCTGAAAAATGAGACATCTTACTTATTATTGAAAGAAGTTTTTGGAAAAAATCGCAGTTTTCAAACTTACTCGTATTTTGGCTTTTTCGGTAGAAGATTTGGGTTTTCTCTGAGATACTTGAAAAGAAATGCCTACATTTCTGGAAATGTGAACAAACCGAGTCTTTTATTTCTGAGATACTATTTTATTACTTGTACTATGTTGTTATGTTGAGTAGTGAAATATTGGTGTTGGACCCGACCTTCGTGTTAGCTCGTCACTACTTTCAACCTGATGTTAGGTTTGTTACTTATTGAGTACATGGGGTCAGTTGTACTCATATTACACTTCTACACCTTGCGTGCAGATGTTGGTTGCTGATGTTGCTGTATTCGATGAGAGCTGGATTGAAGATATACTTGCGTCCCGGCTGTAGCTGCCTCTTGTTCGTGGTAGTTTTAGATCTGTGAAACTCTGTTTATGCACTATTTAAACAGACCATGTATTTATTTTATTTTCGCTTTGTAAACTCTATTCTTAGAAGCTCATGATTTGTACTACCAGTTCTTGGGGAATGTATTAGATTCAGATATTGCTTTACTTAATTTCTTTATTAATTGTTAATAGAATTAGTTAGTGGTTAATTGGCTTACCTAGCGGGTTAGATTAGGTGCCATCACGACTATTCGGATTTTGGGTCGTGACAGGTAGTATCAGATCTCTAGGTTCATAGGTTCTACAAGTCATGAGCAAGTGTCAAGTAGAGTCTTGTGGATCGGTATGATGACGTCCATACCTATCTCCGAGAGGCTACAGGACATTTAGGATATACTTCCCATCTTTCTTTTCTTATCGTGCGACATTGATTAAGCTTGAAGCATAACTCTTTGAATTCCTTCCACGCATTCGTATGCGCATGCGAGCACTCGGTATCATCGGTGCATCGCTGGCTTGTGATTCTATGAACGAGGTTCGAGATGTGTGTTCTGTTTTTTGGTGATGGGCCAGTCTAGAGGACTTGAGGCCATGGTTAGACCGCAGCTTGAGCTCGGTAGCTTCAGTGGTAACTTGTACATTGGACTCATATGTCCGGTAATGTCCCTACGAGAGGAATTTGTGGCTCGATGAGCAGTGAAATAGCTATGTGGTGAGTATGATATGACTGCGAGATGTGTTCGGATTGTTCGAATGTGACGGGAAGAGTTTACTTGAGATGTAGCAAGAACTATTGGGTGTTTGATTTCTATCTTGATTTGGCATATGGCCTCAAATTATGGGTGTGTTGAAGGACCTCTCATGTTGTTTAGTTATGGAGTGCAGTAGATTTTATGTCATGTTATGAGTTCAGACTCAGGAAGATTAAGTGATTACATAATAGTTATGACCGTGGAAGAGTATAGAGAGATGCCAGCTTGAGGCAGAGAAGGTAGGTTATCTCCTGTGAGGTGTCATGAGGTTGTGTGGTCCTTATGATGTTTTGTAGAGAGTTCTATTTTACCAGTGAATGATATATGTTGCAATTTGAGTTTGGATTGCTGGTGGAAGTTGGCTTGACTATTACAAGGGTGAATGCGAGATTTGCAGATTTAGATGGTTTGCGTTACAGGAGCTCAGGAAGGATTTGGTTGAATCTCACTGCGGTATTATTGCAGTAATAGAGTATAGGCATTGTGAGTTGTGTGTTTTGATCTATGGCTTTGAGCCAAGTATGGGAGTCTGCTATCGACAAGTTGATTGCATGATTATGTGTTGTATTGGTTTCGGTTCGAGGTACACTGGTGAATTAGCTATGACTGCATGGGTTGAGATCGAGGATGACTCGGGTAAATGAATTTCTGGATACAGATTGCATTGTACTCTATGGGTATATGAGAATCATAAAATAATCGAGTGGTTATTCGCAAAGGATGTAGTGTACATGGAGTAGGAATTTGCTCTGTTGCTTATGAGTGTGGGTTACTCTTTATTCCCTTGGGTGTTGGTGTGCTAATGGGGCACAGGTCGTTCGGTTCATTTGGTTGGTTTAATTGAGATTTGAGTAGAGTAGATGACTCTCGAGAATGGTTCTAATGGATTCAAGGATTATATGTAGGAATTGAGAATTTCAGATTGGTATATGGCTAGGATCTGAATTGAGAATTTCGGATTGGTATATGGCTAGGATCTGATATTTGCATGGGATGGTGTCGAGATTGTGGCATTTTTATATCATTGTGGATTATGCAATTCGGTATCAAGAAGGTGAAGGAAACAGTTTTAGGTTCACATAAGGTCTCTTTAGAGTGGGTATCTTGGTTATGGTGCTTTGGGGTGCTTAAGAGAGGAGTCAGCGGCTTATGGGCCTTAGGGCGTTGTGGTTTTATAATAGGGTCTCTTGTGTGGTGAACTTTGGTTAAGGATCGTGGTGTTCTAACAAGGAGAAGTATCAATTTGAAGCTAATTTGTAAAGGACTTGGAGAAAAAGAGCAGCTTGGTAGTAATGGATATAATCGGTTCTTTGGGTACTTATGATGTGGCTAGTTTCTACAAGTGTTTCGAGGCAATGCTCTTAGGTTTTGGCAACCTGCGTGGCTGGGTTGAGTTAGAGAGATTCGGTTCAGATAGCTTGGTTATGTGTAGATGGGTTTCGAAGAGTTTGCAATGGTTTTTACCAAGGTTTTAGGGGTATATTTCCTGCTGGCGTGAGGAGCATGGGGTGTATAGTGAATTTTTCCTAGATGAAATCAAATAGAAGGTTTCTTACCGATCGGGTATGTATTCTGCTTGAGACTCAGAGTTGATTATGAGATTTTTGTACTCTTCACATGATGGCATGGTAGATGCGGTGTTGTGTGGGATTGAGATTTGCATGAGCGATGTCACAGTTCAGTTTTGAAGGGAAGGTCGTAAACTTCTTAGGCAGCATGGACGGTTTTAGATGACTGGGTAAATGATATTACTATTTGGTATGGCTCGATGAGAGTGTACATTTCAGAAAGGGCAATGTGTTTCGATTTATGGATACCTCATTGGTATTACGGCACTCTTCTGGTTGATCGACTACTGATATTCAAATTTTGCTATGTGGCACGGAAGAATTTTAGGAGTATTCCTCGTGGGATGATCGTGTATGAGGGATGAGTTAGACATTCTGGTGGTGGAGTTGGGATCAGATATGGTGATTCGTGTGTTTTATGGATTTGGAGGCTGGGAGTTCTCAGGAGCAAATTGTTTCATGGTTGTGAACTGTGAGGTCGTGGCCGAAGCTAGCCAGTTGATAGTATGTGTTATGATTCAATCATTGTGGGCTTTCGGAGGGTTACTTATCTATTGGTGGGTGACCAGAGTTGATTTGGGGTCTATTGGTAGGCCCAATTAGGATATGTATTCTACACCGATCCGGATTGGTTGGCTCCATACTGCTATTGTTGAGGGATGTGTCATTCGATTGTAGATGAGCTTATTCATGTTCTGTTATGTTCGGTGAGTTACTCTTCTATGCTACGAGGGGTTATTATTCGTTGGTTGTATGTACCCATGGTGCAGTTCTATTGGGGCCTTATAGCTGAATTCGCACGAGATGGGTATTTAGGCGATACATGAATAGTTGCGCATTGGTTCTGTTCGTTCGGGTTTGTGTGGCATTGTTTCATTTGCTTCTCCATGGTTATGGTAATGCACTGTGAGTACTTGATGTCGGATTGCGCGTAGTTATTGATTTTGAGCATGGTGGCTGAGGTATTTCATACGGATCAATGTTTGGATGCGGTCGCGCATTGCGGCAAAGTTATGTTGAGATATGATCCTTTGTGTTAGATTCGTGTGTTATGGTTCTACGATGTGTGATGGGCTCTTAGCATTGCGTTGGGGTGGTACCCGTCGAGCTTGCGGGAAAGTTCTCTTGTTTGAGTCATTTTTGTGATTGAGTACATTTGGAATAATGCTTATTGGTGCACGGATTGCACGGGTTGCGTCTTTGGATAGTATTGGGGTGACATGATAGTAGAGTAGCTGGTATTTGATAAGATGAAGTCGTCGGATCTAGGATAGGTACTATCAGATTTGATTGTAGTATATTTGGAAGGATAATATCGAAAGTCGGCTTAGAAATTTGCTATGGTTCTTGTCGAAGGCGAGGGAGCTCCACGGCTGGTGGATCTGATGAATGGTTATGAGTTTATGTATGTTTCTTTCATCATCGGTAGTGTACGAAGGTTTTAGAATAGAGTCTTGTTTGATATGAGGTTTATTACCAGTATTGGGTTGTTTTGAGCAGCTAGTGTGATTAGAAATCATTGCTTCGAGCATTTGAGCTATGTGGTATTTGAGTTATGGTTATGGCTTTTTGTACAGCTTGTTTAGATTTATACAATATGTAGATGCGAAATTCTGATCTTATAAGAAATTCCAGATGTTTGAAATTTGATTCGAAGGCTTATGGGCTAGGGTGAATTGAAATGTTTTTGTTATGTTGTGTTATCAGACCTGTATGGGATTGGGTGACATGGGATCACCCCCGGGTATGTGCATGGTAAGGTTATACGGCGATTTGATGGTTTTGAGAACAACTCTGGACACGTTCGAGGAAGAACGTATGTTTAAGTGGGGGAGGATGTAACGACCTGACCGATCGTTTTGAACATTTACACTTCGCTCGGTTGTTTGAGGGCATGAGTAGCTCCGTATGATGTAATATGACATATGTGAATCGTCTGTTTTGGTTTTCAGGTTATTCATAATTGATTTGAAAGAATGATTCTCAGCCAGAAGCTTTAAATTGGGAGAGTTGATCAAGTTTGACTTTTGGTGAATTTGAACCCGGAACGGAGTTTTGATGGATCTGTTAGCTCATTGGGTTATTTTGGACTTAGGAGCCCGTCCGGATTATGATTCGGAGATCCATAGTGGAATTTGGCTTGAAATGACGAAAGTTAAAATTTTGGAAAGTTTGCCCGGGAGTGGACTTTTTGATATCGCGGTCGGAATCTGATTTTGGAAATTAGAATAGGTTCGTAATGTGAAATGTGATGTGTGTGCAAAATTTAAGGTCAATCGGACGTAATTCAATAGGTTTCGGTATCGGTTGTGGAAGTTGAAGTTTTAAAGTTCATAGATTTCGATTTGAGGTGCGATTCGTCGTTTCGATGTGGTTATGCGTGATTGGAGGCCTCGAGTAGGTCCGTGTTATGTTATTGGACTGGTTAGTATATTCGGACTGGGTCCCGAGTGACCCGGATGAGTTTTGGACAAGGTTCAGATCATTTTTCACTTCATGTGCAAAGTTGAAGGTTGCTCGTTCTGGTAGGATCGCACCTGCGGTTGGTTTGCGCAGGTGTGATGGCCGCAGAAGCGAAAAAGGCATCGCAGATGCGTGAATAGTGTTGTGTGAGGAAGACCGCAGAAGCGGAGATTTGGGCGCATATGTGATGCCGCAGGTGCGACAGCTCGAGCGCAGGT